GACTGTTCTTCAAAGTTACGCTGAAGATACATAGTGNAGAGCGTGAAGCTACATATGAGTTGAAAACATGTGATTGTTCTTCAAAATTACGCTGAAGATACATAGTACACCGGCTATACCGAAATAGGCATAAATAACGGACAGTTCTTATGCTATGTAAGAAATTGATTGCGTATCTAAGTATTAACAGAATCCCAAGTGTTTTTATTTTTATTAGTGGAGAACTTTTAAATTTGTTCCCATGTTTTTGTGTGCTTGCAAGTTTTGCAATCCGTGCTACATGCAACGGCTTTTCAAGGTTTCAAGAATATCCCTACTATGTCTAAACACCCAAAACTTTGCAATACTTTTTACACGATCACATAATTTTGAACGAATTTAGTTTCGACACAAACCGGTTTCGTGTTGGCATTGAAATGCCATTTTTCGTTCAGATTTACACTGCAATTTTTTTTAAGTAGCCAGTGATGGAAAAGTAAGCACAAGTCAACCTTATCAGCCCTCTTTATACCAAAAATAAATTCGGTACACTTGGCTCAATTTAGGTACAATACACTGAGACTGAATGTCATCTATGAATCACCTGCAAACGATTCTGATCCTTTAGTCGGCATTTGAAAATTCTATCGCTAAAATTTAAGAACATCAAGGGGCTAACTTCCGTAGAAACTACGATTTTTTTTCTTATTTTAGAAATATGAAGACCTATCTAACGTTAATTTTTATCTATCATAGACCTACAAACGATTGTGATATTCTAAGCAGTATTCAAAGTAAGATAAAGATACATTCGGTACACTTGGCTCTATTTAGGTACAACATATTTCTCCAAAACCGTTTCACGTCAATAATTTACATATATATGGCGCATTAAAGGAGACCGAATGTCATCTGTCAATCACCTACAAACGATTCTGCATCACTTAGTCGGCAATTCAACATTCTATCATCAAAATTAAAAAAAAAAACAGGGGCTAACTTCCGTAAAAATGTTGAGCTTTTTTAATTTTCTTATTTTAGAAATAGGGAGATCTATCAAACGTTAATTTTTGTCTATCATAGACCTACAAACGACCTACAAACGATTGTGATATTCTAAGTAATATTCTAAGTAAGATAAAGATACATTCGGTACACTTGGCTCTATTTAGGTACAACACATTTCTCCAAAACCGTTTCACGTCAATAATTTATATATTGAGCATTAAAGGAGACCGAATGTCATCTATCAATCACCTACAAACGATTCTGCATCACTTAGTCGGCAATTCAACATTCTGTCGGCAAAATTAAAAAAAACAGGGGGCTAACTTCCGTAGAAATATTGAACTTTTTTATTTTTCTTATTGTAGAAATAGGAAGATCTATCAAACGTTAATTTTTATCTATCATAGACCTACAAACGACCTACTAACGTTTGCGATATTCTATATAATATTTTTTTATTAAACAGTAGATAACTTCCTGGAGCTGTAGGTTTTGTTGAGTTAAAGCCGCACACCGATGGGAATAAAGCTTCCTTGCATTTAAATGTTAGTGCGCAGATATTCAAAAGAGTCGACGACTGTAAAACATACATACATACGCGGCGTAGCAGTATCAAAGCGAAGCAAATTTTAATGCCTTCATTTTATTGCATAATTTCACTGTTCATCTGCATATGTATTTATTACACGTACATTTAGTACATACAACGAGGACTATATTTATTGCGGCTTTTAGCTCTTAAGAGCTCATAATAGTACACGCAAATGTGCCTAAAAGTATGTTTCGTTCGATGAAAATTTCCATTACCAATTAATAATTACCACGGAATGGGTGCTCACACAGATATGCAATCACTTGTATGTACAGTTGCGGTCAAAATAGTAGCAACAAAATTCCAGTTGATATTGTTTGCAACTCAAGTTTATTTACTTATCTATTTTAAAAAAATTTCACTTAAAATATACATATCGCTCATTTACTTCAATACATAGTGTGATAATGAGAAAAATAAAAAAAATATTGAGCTACCAGTATCTCGCTAGAATTCGTTCGCCGGGAATTCGTTTCTCCCGCGAAAAAAATTTTCCAATAATTAACTCCCAGGGAGTAGCATTTTCCCCGAAAAATTGGGAAAAGAAAATTCGAACTTTGAGAAAGCTGTTTGACCCTTTTTTGAGAGCTCAACTCCGCCATTTAATATAAAAAATCTTAAGGAAATTTTTATTCATGAAAGGAGGAATGGGAAATTAGAGAAAATTTCCAGGGAGTTTCTGGTCAGAATCGGCCTGATAGCGATGTAAAAAAATAAAAATAAATTGCAAGAAATGCCACTTTAAATTTTGTACCTATTATTATGCTCCTGAGTGTATATAAATGGAAATAATATTGGATTGTCCTTGTATTTATTTATTTAAATAGCCCTAGAGTTAGTGAATTCAATATTTCAATGAACATTAGTATGCAATTAATGCAAATGCGAATGTGTAATGTTAAATTTTTTAGTTTACGCTTCCACTGTAATTCACTCATATGTAATGTACATACATTCAAAGTACATGCACATATTTATTCGGAAATTTAGAAATTTCAACCACAATTGCATTTATAAAAATTAGATAAATTAGGGCACATATTTCAAATATTCTAAATTTAACTAATGAAAGAGCTTAAAAGTACGCGCAGTTTATTAAATAAACTATATAGTTACATACATACATATATAATACGCGAATGGATTTTTGTTCAGGATAAAAGATCTGCACCGTTCGCTCGATTTTCAAAAATGGGGTATCAAATTCAAGCGCTTGGACTGTAGATGTGCGAACTGGTTTTACTTTTTCCAACAGAGTTGCCACCTGTAGAACAATTGAATTCAAATTATTTAATAAGCATAATAACTGCACCGTTCGTTTGATTTTCCTAAATGAGGTGTCAAATTAAAAGACTTGGACTGCTGATATGCAATAAGGGTTTACTTTTTCTGAAAAAAATTGCTACCTTTTAAAAAATTATATTCAAATTATCTAAAAAAAAATCAAATATTAAAAAATGGGTATCAATGGAAATGGTTTTGAAAATTTTTCGTCCATAACTTAAAATATCAAATTAAAATTGAATGAAGGAAAATAAATCAGAAAAAATTTTTCAACAAATGGGTCCCAAACGAAAGGGGCTCAGAAGGTAGCAGTTTAAAATATTTTGAAGTGGGTTGCCACCTGCTTGAAATGTCGAATTTAGTTAACTGATCCAAAAGTTATATGAAATGTTAAAAATTTATTTCAAATTATTTGATAAGTTAAATGAATTATTAAAATATGGGTTTGAAAAATATTTTTTTCTGAACTATATTAAGCGGGGTTGCCCCATGTTTAAAAAATAAAATTCAACTTAATTTACCAGTCAGTTAAATTATGTATCGCAATGTTAGAGGGGAAATATTTAAGAATATTTAGAACGAAACTACTTTTGAAGAGGGGTGCCGCCTGTCGAATTTAATTAACTCAAGTTAATTGAAATATGAAGCGAAAGGGTGTTAAAAAACTAGAGTTTGAACATTTAGAATATTTGAAGAGGATTGCCACGTGTTTATAATGGGGTTAAAAAGGCTTTATTTCTGAAATGTATTTAAGAGGGTTGCCACGTATTTTATATGCTGCATTCAAATTATTTAATAAGTTCAGTGAATTTTTAAAGGATGGATATGAATCGAAATGAGTTTGAAAAGGCTTTCAGTTCGGTTTTGCAATTCATTTACGAGTGAATTTAAACATTCCCTTCGAACTTGAACTTCGTAGAAGTTTATTCAAAAATAAATTGTATAACCTGAAAAACAAAGACCTTGCCCTGTAGCTGTGCGATAAGGTTGAATTTTTTTTTTAATTATAAAATTTTTATCGGTACAGAGTGATTTGAAATTTGATAATATTAAAAACCTACTATGCGAAATGGCTGCACGGATTTAGAAGAAATATTACACTCGAATCGTTTATACCTACATTGAGTGGTATTATTTGGAATAGTTAGTAGGCTTTTGAAATTCTATCTTTGGCGTTTTAATGCCGTGCGGGTTCACTAGTCATTATATAACCGCCTAAGTCAAAAACCTGAATTCGAGAAAAAACCTTTCAAACATTTGGATTGTGATGTTAGCCTTATGGGGGAACAAAAATATTTTCGTCTATAACTTTTTAACTGGCCTAGCTGGCGAGATGGGGATTTCATGTATGTACCTATAACTCAATTCTTCCTTAAGTTTACTCATTCAAGTGAATTTTGGTTAAACGCAATAGTGAATTCTCACTCAAGTAACCACATACTATATTTGCAATGTATTTACTGAAGTATGTACATATATTTGCACTGAGAAGTACTAAATAAAAAGAAAGTTAGTTAGATTAAAAAAGCACTTTTTAGAGTAAAAACTAGTTGCGATCGCTTTTTAACTCAATAGGGCCACAATTTTTGATGGGCTCTAAAGGCAGGCACAAAATGGGCAGATGGCTCGGTTACAATTAATTTTTTTTTATGAAAAGTGAATCCGACTTAATCGCGCACATATGTGTGAACATTTATTGGCTCAATAACATACGCAATAAAAAATGTCCACAGGTTTTTCCTATCAAGGAAATGTTTCAATATTGATTCAGTTGGAGCAGAGGAAATCGGAAATTTGTTTATAACATTGATCTATTAATAATCACTTTATAAGTTAGGGCCGATTATAATAATCAATGCACTTAATACATATAAATCTTTGTTCTCAATGCTAGGTTAATAAATAATTTGCATATTTAAGTATGTAGGTATGTATGCATGCATTAGCGTGAGATAATAGCATGTAATTAACGGCATATGAGGGGCTCAAAGCCGTTATACATAAGTACTCACTTGAGTAATCTGAGATTTTTCATTAAAGTGTATCAGCATAGATTTTTAGTACACACAAACATACATACATATGAAAAATATATATGAAAGTATGCGCTTCTAATTAAATGACAATAAACAACCACTCAATGCAGGAAAAGTGCTATGAAAATCATTTGAAATGTTTATTCACAAGATCACATCAGTTTTGCGGTACACGCGCCTTGAGACAGTTCTAAGTCGAATAAAAACGGATGACAGTTTTTAAAAGTTCAAAGTGGACAGGATACTATTACGAATAGTGGAAACGAATTCAAATTTTTGTTTGCATAGAAAATTTTCTTAAACATGATAGTAATAATTTTGTTAACGGCTCTTTTTGCCGGAGCGTATATTTACTGGACATATGTACAATACAAAACCGGTTGGCATCTGCTTAAAAAAGTACCAGGACCCTTCACATTTTGGGTATTCGGGAATGTGCCGCAAATCGGATTAACAGCTGAAGGTATGGTTGTGGGCGAGAAGGGGGAGGGCTAATGAAATCTTTACTCATAGTCGCCACAGTTACTTTGCTAAAAAAAATAAACATTTGCGAAAAACATTCAAGCTTATGTATCTTTTGTACATATGTACAGTGACTCAAACTAGTAAACACATATTGATTTTTTAGATATTACAATTTTTTTCAAGTAGATTTTGTTTGTTATCATTTATAAAAATATTGTCCACGCATTAACAAAAACCGCATAAATAGAAGTTTCAGATTTTATACAAAATTTAAGAAAATTCAACAAATTTTCAAACTTTTTAATCTCAATTTTGGACCTTTTTGGCTACATATTCAATTTTATAGCCCATACAATTTTAGTCTAACGGCTTTTCGCACTTTTCTCCATATAAGCATGCATTTTTATCGAACCAGCAATCAACGCCAGTTTTTATAAATTGCTTTTGTTATATAAAAAAAAAATCAAAAACTGTCACTAAAAAGAATTATAAAACAGATATAAAAATCATCGCGATTTTTCAGCCGCCTAAAACTTCATACCCAACAAGTAATTTTTTAGCAAAAAACAAAGTCGACTTCAATACTCATATACAAATTTAAGATTATCGTTTTTAATTTTTACATGATCCGATGATCGAATGTAAACCAAATTAGCATGGGACCACCTGTGAGGTAACAGTTTTCATTTAAAAAAAGAATTATTGAAACCGGTTAACGTTGTCCTAAGCTATACGGTAACGAAAAAAATAATTTAAAAAAAGAACCAAATAAAAAAATGAAAATGTTCCGACGAATTGATAACCTTTTCTTTTTTGTGAAGTCGGTTTAAAATACTCTAAAGATTGAAAGAAAAAATTTTGAAATTTTTATGAACATTTTTTGCATTTTTCTAATTCTTGTATTAAGTTTGAAACATTGATTTTTGTGGTTTTGGTCGAAGCTTGAAAAACATTTTTATAAAATATAACAAAAAAAATTTTAATTGAAAACCATTAATAATAACAATAGATTGCCGCTTACACTCATAGTAGTGTTTGGCCGAGCTTCTCCTCCGATTTGTGGCGTACGCCTTGATGTTATCACACAAAGAGGATGGCGATGTTGGCGCGCACTGCTAACCACTATACCACAGCGGCCGCAAATTTGGAATTAAAAAAATAAAAAAACAACACGCGGTCACTTGTTCGAGTCTCTGCATTTTTTTTATTATTGTTTTAGCCAAAAATTCAGCAAGATTTTGAATTCATAAAAACTAGCTTTAATTTAATTATTTAGCAGCAAAAAATCCGCTGGTTTTTATTGCAAATTCAAATAACGGATTAATAAAAAGCAAGAAAATAATAAAACACGAAAATTTCTTCTTTCTTTGCCACACTTGTGACTAAATAAGTGCCATTCGCATCAATGTTATCAACACTTAAGTGCAAACAATCTGTACACAGCATGCTACTGAAATACCAAATTATAGGTCTAAATAATTACAAAAAAAATGGCAAAAAATCAGAAAGGGAAATAATGATTTCTTTACGAAATATTTAAGATTTCTCTACTATTCAGATTACTCTGGAAGTATGGTTTACAAATGTTCTATGTAAAGGAAAAAAAATTTTAAAAAATATCCACATGAAAAGTGCTTATTCTAAAATTTTGTCAGGCTACTGTATTTATGTGCAAGTTTTTGAAAAACCTGTTTATTTGGTTTAATCAATTTATACAAATTTTAATATAGCGACTTTCACATGCAGTTTTGCTCCCGTTAATTGCTATTTTTTTTTTTTTTTATGTTTAACTTTTTGCTTACTACTAGCAGTGTGGCATATGTATGCAACTTGTTAAGATTTAGCCGCAGAGCCGCTGATATGTCGATATTTCGTTAATAAGACAATGATTGTTTTCAACTTTTTGTGCTAATTGTTGCTAAGCAGCGGTTGCGGCTGCTAATTGGATGACTCCAAATTCGACAGCGGACGCGCACGCTCTGGTTCTATGGCCATAGATTCATATGTATACATTAATAATTTTTTTAGAATGCCAAAAGCGGGATTTTATTAAAATTAGTTTAAATTTATAATACAAGTTTATTTATTTTCATTTTCATTTCGATTGCTGATAGAAAAATGAATGTGCAGTAGCTTTGAAAACATGCACATAATTGCGAAAAATAATTGATGGTTCTGTGCATCTGGATACGAGCATATTGATTTGTGCATACATATGTATATTTTTTATATGCTCATGCAGATTAGCTTGGGAAGAAAAGTGATTTTTTTTTATTTATACCCAATTAAATAAAATTAATGCTAGAGTAAACCTAAAAATTTCAGTAATTCTAGAAAAATAGCCTTAAAAAAGTGCAATTCTTCCTAATACCTTTTCAAGGATTCGCACAACAGGCGCGGCAAGGCTCGTGGCTCTTCCTCATTTCTGCAGCTTCCGCAGAATGTATTATGGGAGAAGGCAAACCTCTCCGCGCGCCTTCCGATGGCAACATGACCTGTCAGCAGACCCACGGCTGCGGCTAGGTCCCCTCTGCTCAGCATGACGAAATCCTTCGACCGCTTTTCGTACTGCTGCAAGTGGTGAGACAAAGTAACAAGTGGGCTGTCAATTGCTAGTTCGTCTGGCTGGTATGTACCGGTGCCACGGCACCCATACCTAGTGATTAACATACTGCTCAGTCATCTCTTTTAGTGATCTGCGAGTGTCCTCTGCGGTTTTCGAACTGCATGTGACCGAGTGAAGCGCTTTGAGTGCGGCATGACTGTCTGAGTAGATGAAGATATCGTCACTTATGGCTTCTCTTGTACGTTCATAGGTGTTCAACCGCCTCATTTATAGCTGCGACTTCAACTTGAAAGACGCTGCCGTGGTTGGGTAAGCGAAATGATATTTCCAGCCCCAACCGGGTTGAGAAGACCCGCCCTCTCCTATCCTGCCGTCTAGCTTAAATAGAGCCTTCAGCGTGAATTCTTTTACTGGTATGCAAATCCTAAAATCCTCTCTAAGTAAGCTATAATTTTATTCTTTCCTACGCGGACTGAGCCGGTATATTGTGCATATCGTTGGCTTAGTGTGCAAAGGTGCTAAATCCGTTTTTTGTTTTAATTTATCAGAAGGTGAAAAAAACCGTTTAACTTTTTTTGTTGTTAATATTTTCCTAATCTGTAAATGCAGATTTCTTCCTTAGGCCGTCTTGTTTCAATACCAATAATCGTCCAAATTCAAAATAAAGCTGATGCAGACTTATAGGCTCTTTTGGGACTTACCACATTATCTTTTTATGCGAATATTAAAAAAAGAGCCGTACGCTCAATTTTGGGAGTAACAGTAGGTCCTTTTAAGGTCATAAATTCGTTAGATTAGTTATTTTCATTAGTTATTTTGTATCACCCTAATGTACATGCATACATACATACAAAAATTTTCTTTTACATCACTACGGAATCATATCCTAGCTTCCTTAATTTTTAATCGCGTGCTGACTCAGCGCAAAATGCCGTTAATATGGCAGCTGTCATTCAGCAATAAATTAAAATGACAGCTACAAATACACAAATACATGAAATGAATTGGCCAGCTTAGAGTGCAAAGTTGCTAAGTCCATTTTTCTTTAATTATACAAGAGCGTTAAAAAAACGTCTAAAGCAATTTCCTTTAAGTATTTCATATATCTTTGAATACAACATTTGCGTGTTTAAAGCAAAGCAAAACTCAATACGAATAACAGGCTAACTTAATATTATTTGCTTCTCTTAGCTGTTCATTGTTCATGTTTAACCAAAACTTTTAGGTTTTTGCGTTCGCGTACGCAAAAAACTTGCAAAGTAGGGGAAATCGAGAGAGCAAAGTGACATTTCATTTGGAGGGGAAGCTGCTGGAAAAATGTTTGCCAACAGCAATTTGCCAACAGGAAAACAGCTGATCAAAAACAGCTGTTTGGAATTTACGTAAATCACAAAATTTAATTTGATGGTTTGGAAGTTAAGAATGACAAAATTCGACTAATTAAACTTGTAAGATGTAGTTATTTGTTATTGATTAAACCATGTCAGGATAATCATTTGTGATGAGTTTTCGTACATTTTAAATTTTACACTTTTGAATGTAAACAAAAATTATATGAGCTGTTCGTCTGACTTGCAACTTTCTGCAAATTTCCTGTTCGCGTACTGTTTTGAATAGTTTTGTCTTGTGAGAGAACTGGTGACATTTCGCCGGAATTTTGCTGTCGGAGTTTTAAACGCACGCAGCCAATTTACTGTCAAACATTTCTCATCCACATACAACTTGTATGGGACCAAACGAAATTGAACGGCGTGCGTATGAATTTCCAATTTTTGTTCTACGTGACATTTTGATTTGACATTTCGCTTGATGAAATCAGATGCAAACGCACGCAAGCCGATTTCGAATGACGCAAGAAAACAATATTCTACGGCGTGCGTATTAAAACGCAAGCCGCGATTATTAGGTTAGCCTGTAAAAAGGATTCTAACTTTATTAAAATATCTCGTATTATTTTGGTTTTGTCGGATTTTCGGTGTCCCTTTTGGACTTAACCAACTTGCCTTTCCTTGAATATAATCGAGAAAAAATAAAACAAGTACCTTAATCCTTTTCGAAACGATGCATTTTTTATATACCTTGCTTCCTATATCAAAATATGAGTTTTCATAAAAACTGGACTTAGCAACTTTTCACTCTAAGCTAGCGATATGTATATGTACGTACATAAGTATATTAGAATTAAAAATAGGCAACAATTAAAATAGCGTGTCATAATTTGTCGCGGCTAACCAGCTTGGTGACTTTCGTCAGTTGACATGATACTATTCAAGATCATTGCCATATAAAACAACAAAATAAAATAAAATAGCAGCAATATTAACTAACAACTCTTATATGCCCAACTGAAAGTGAGCTGAACAAAAAAAAAAAAATACAACAATAATATACTAAAAAAAGTATTTATAAACTTGTTTACTATTGTAACCTACATATGTATGTACGTACGTGCATCTATACGAATTTATGTACTACCAAGTAATTGTAACAACTAAATATTGCGGTTATTTTACAAATAAATAAAAATAAACAAGCGTAAAAAAGGCAAACTTGTGTACTTTCAGTGCATAAAAAAAATGAATGAATGAATTAAACAAATACATATATTTTCGCTGACGGTTATGTTCGGAAATACAGTTCGCCAGTTGATTTGCCAAACGCAATCCCAATGCAGCACACAAAAAGAAAAAAAATATTAGATATATCTTTTGTCGGGTGTGAATCATAAAGTTTGGTTGCTCAATTTTATGCCACCCACGTGTAGCAAATACGTTTTAACAGTGCGACAATTAAATGTTTAAACTATCATCATATATGNTATATCTTTTGTCGGGTGTGAATCATAAAGTTTGGTTGCTCAATTTTATGACACCCACGTGTAGCAAATACGTTTTAACAGTGCGACAATTAAATGTTTAAACTATCATCATATATGTATTAATAACAAATAATAAAGGCAAATACATATATTAATATAAGAAACATCTTCATTTATTCACTTCACAATTCATATAATAATAAGCATCCACAATGCCAGTTGTAGTGTCCAAAATCAATAACATCATCCCATAAGCTATGTGCGGCAAAATCATCCATCATCATTTATCTTATTGCGGTTTAGTTCTTGGTTTCCTTTTGGGGGTGAGACTTGAGGTATTCGAGCTCCTTGATGATGGCTTCTGGAGTTGGTGGTGGAGTGGGCAAGAGATCGCTCTTTGGCTGGTAACCATTCTCATCGGCAACATAGGTTAATTGGACGTTGGTACCTTCGGGCGATACCCAACCGAATTCACCCTTAATGTTGCCTTGGGCATCACCAGCTGACACGACATGAATGCTGTTGCTTGTATCGAGGTCAGCATCGAAACCATCGGGGCGGACATCGGCGTGCTGGGATTTGACTTCGGCAGTGGCATCATCGGAGCTGCCAACGGCTGAGACGTAGACGACGAAAGCGAAGAGCAGCACCTGTATGCAATGTAAGAAAATTATTATAATTGGCGGTTATATAATTTCCATTTGAAAAGAGTGATTTTAAGCTATTGCAACCAAAGTCTTTTTAGTGCATGCACTTACGTATTTGAACATTTTTGCTATTTTTTTTTTGGTTGTGATGTCTGAGACTAGAACCCTTGATTGTTTCTGATGCCGATTGCCAAATTTGGTAGCGCTTTTATAATGGCAAATTTTCTGTGCTTCAGTAGCCGCCTAATTTGCATACCACCGGGAATGAGCCTTCAAGTTCACTGGTTATGCAAGTGCATGCGTGGTATGTGTGTGTTTGACTACAATTACTGCCCATTCCCGTTGATATTTTATGATTTTGGCTAATTTTAATTCGTCGGCCGTTAAAATCCAGCTAAACTTGTTATAATTGTAAAAATGTCTTAGCTAAAAAATTTGTTTCTTTTATTCAAATAGGTATACACACAAGAATTTACTTTTTAGCAAATGCATTTTTAGCAATTAAGAAAAAAACAGGTCCCGAATCGCGGCATTCAATATCGCACGTAACTCCAAACGAAATTTGATTTTTAAATCGTAACATTCGATAACGAGTGTGCTTCGTCCATTTAAATTGTATTGTAGAGAATACAGCTACCAACTCACCGTCATACATTTGTTTAATTCGATTCGAAACGAGAAATGTAAGTAAGGTGTGCATCTCGAAATATGCACCTGGTTTTCTAAATCAATCAAACATTTTTTATCAACTATGCTCGTAAGGATGTATGTATGTATGTACATTAGCGTGGGCTGAAAATCCGCTTTTTTAGAATTTTGATTGGTTCATTATGCTCTAAAAAAAATTTGTGTGAAAAATTAAAATCTCGCCCAAGTTTATCAAAGTGCAATGTGCTCAAAAAATAAAAATTAATAAACGCATTAATGAAAAATTTTTTTTTACTAAAACTGCAAGTAGCTTGGAAAGTTTTAGTCCTACATAATTTGGTATATTGACTTTTTTTGTAGAGAATCGAAGTAAGGTAAGAAACAATTTTTTTAGCACTTGAACTTTGATGGACTTGGGCTAGCCTAATTATGAACCACATAACCAATCGAAATTCTAAAAAAGCAGATATTCGGTCCACGCTAATGTACATTGTGCATATAACTATTTCTAATCATTCCAATTTGCAACTCATTCCTTCACATTTTCCATCACTGCCGCATTGTTGGCTAGCGATGCGCAACACGCAACACATCAATGATTTTAAACCAGTTTTCACCTCAACATTTTTTTGTTACAGCTTAATTACGCGCAATTTTCATGTCATATCTATGAAATCAATATCAAAGACTCATATTTACACATTTGGGGTAGTTATACGCTTATTTGCTGTCACTTATTCTAACGGAGCTATAAACAAGTTTATATAATATTTTTATTTTCTTAATCTTAAGTGTCAAAGTTGCGAGGGGTGGCTTCAAATCAAAGTATTTTCAATCATTTATTGTAGCGCACGCTTAATTGCCTAGAGGTTAACAGTTATGAAATCATAAAATAAACTATAAAATGCAAAATGCACCAGTGTAGAAAGTAATGTAGGATTGATAAGCCTGTCGCAATTTGGACCCACCCAAGTTTAGCTCTCAGATAGTCCATATTGTTATCAATACTAGTTCCTCATAATTCCCCTGCCAATGGTTTCAACTGTCGTTTTTAACATTGGCGTGTCATTGGAAAAGGACCGGTCCAACAACTCACCGTAAGATGTCGTATTGTGCTTAATTGTTCTTTATCATCTGGTTTTGGATTAGTCCATTTACATTTTAGTTTTAATAAATTTTTTCGTTTGAATACGATTTCGTTGTGCACTTCACAGATGCTTTTTCGTAATAAAAGGAACGAAAAACAAAAATTTAATATTATATGTTCCACCAATGCGATTTTAACTCGGTCAGTCCTGACAGCACAACCAATAGTAGGCATCTCTGCGATATAGAATATGCTCGATAATTCCGTTTGTATGAGAGAAAATGCCCAGCACCATCAGCAAAAAAAAAAACAAGAATATTAAAAATCAACTTGAAACTTACACTTTAACCTACCAAAACTTAAAAAGCTACAAAACTGCATACTTAAAATTTGTCTAAAAATTTTAAATAAAAAGTATAAACGTTGTGGAAGCACATCTTCAATGTTGTTGAAATTTCATAATTATTGTGCAAGTTTTGAAATGTGGATTTACATATATGGCGCTGGTTAGGTAGAGTGTTAGACTTTTAAAATATATAAAAAAAATAGCCAAAACTAGTCAAATGACACCTGACTTAATCAGCTGACCACAAGGGTACGTACATACGTATACAGGGTGTCCTAGACCACCCGTCCACCCCCTCTAAAATGGAGTGAAATGTTTTTTGTTGAAAACCTCAAAAATTTTACTGACTATCTTTTGGTGGTATTATCGACTGCCGTTTTCGATCGGAGGTGGGTTAAATTGAGCGGAAGTCCATTTTTTCCAAATTTTGATTCTAACAATAAAAATACGTAACCTTTGTTTGAAACTTTTTTCTCAGGAGCGCCGTTTTCAATCCCTAAATGACCTTCGAGCTTCAGCTCGTCCTGGACTTCTAGAATGGACGAAAATGTTTTTTATTGGAAAACGAAAAACATGAATTAGCAAGTCGAGGACGCTCTATCTTTTGCTCATATTACCGACTTCCGGTTCCGACCGGAAATGGGTTATACTGACCAGAAGTCCATTTTTTTAAATTACGCATGTATATTTTTACTACCGATTCGGATTCTATGGACAAAAGTACGCAACTTTTGTTTCAATATTTTTTCTCGGAAGTGCCCAAGGGAAATGATTTAACTAAAGCTATCTCAACATGACCCTAAGACTGCCCGATGAATAAGACCATTGTTTCGATGTGTTCATATCATTCTCCTACACTTCGGAGAACAGAAGTCTACGGAGGGTTGGTATGCTTGAACCCATGTCCTGTCTAATTTTTTTTTTATTATGAACTCTTCTGGTACCATTCATTAGGACCAAGGTTCGATTGCTGGTCCGAGCAATTTATTTTATTCTAGCGCTTATAGCTTCCCCCTTTTTGTGTGTTAACATCAGAGCGCTTCCCTCTACGAAGGGAAGATCAAATAGAGAAGGCCTCGGGTACACCTGCCTTTTCGGTTGGCACAGAAGAGAATCGAATGGTGGGTGTATTTTATTCGACTCGGCCAAAATCGCTTTGACTAAGAAAAGAATGGAACGCATGGTAAGACGCTACACATGCAAAGCACCAAACAACAAGATTAAACGGCTTCACGCGTAAATGAATTCTATCTTGGTAAGGAAAAGTAAAAGCATCCTCCGTTTTTCAGTTTTCTAGGAAACGAAGAGCAGCGGAGAAAGTGAAAACATGCATGTGACTTGTTGGAGTTTCTTGAGCCGTCCCATCACAGCATGGCTCTTTATTCTAGGTAGTGGTTTCCTAATTTTCACATATCCTTCTACAACCACAAAAAATGTCATAGGTTGTCTTTCTTTGAATTCGAATTGAAAGCACGAGTTGTATAAGAGTTGTATAACAGACTCAATATATTTATGTATAGCTGTAATCCTTTCTTTAAAATTAATTAATAGTATTAAAGTGTGGATTTATATGTATATGTTTAGTGGGATAATTCACCATAACTTTTTCTAATTACCTTGTTTTTCTAAAGCTACTGTAATTATCTTTACCCTATTTAACTACACATATGCAAAGTTAATGACGTGTGACGTTAATGAAGCTGTTGGAACGCTATAATTAAAGTAAAAACGTATGTTTACCAGTTAGCTGGATTATTTTATTTGCATTTAAAAAAACATAAAATATAAACTGAAAATCGGCAACAAGTGGAAAAGTTTCTTCGAGCCTAGCATTGTTTTTGTATAACAATAAAACTCGAGTATCACATAACATATCCATTCAATCCCATCGCCTTCCATCTTATCAGCATCATCAAGTCAAGTTCTAGTTCAATATAAATATAATCTTTCAATTATCGGCGGCATCATCCAATCATATAATTTATGATTTTGTTTGGCTTTAGTTCTTGGCGTCCTTTTGGGGGTGAGAGCTGAGCCATTCGAGCTCCTTGATGATGGCTTCTGGAGTTGGTGGTGGAGTGGGCAAGAGATCGCTCTTTGGCTGGTAACCATTCTCATCGGCAACATAGGTTAATTGGACGTTGGTGCCTTCGGGCGACACCCAACCGAATTCACCCTTAATGTTGCCTTGGGCATCACCAGCTGACACGACATGAATGCTGTTGCTTGTATCGAGGTCAGCATCGAAACCATCGGGGCGGACATCGGCGTGCTGGGATTTGACTTCGGCAGTGGCATCATCGGAGCTGCCAACGGCTGAGACGTAAGCGACGAAAGCGAAAAGCAGTACCTGTAGGCAATGTAAAGAGATGATTATAATTCGCGGTTGAATAATTCCTTTTTGAAAAGAGTTATTTAAAGCTGTATATTAAATATAGCCAAAGTCTCCTTCGCATTTATGTACTTACGTATTTGAACATTTTTGCTATTTTTTTTTTGGTTGTGATGTCTGAGACTAGAACACTTGATTGTTTCTGATGCCGATTGCCAAATTTGGTAGCGCTTTTATAATGGCAAATTGTATGTGCTTCAATAGCCGCCTAATTTGCATACCACCGGGAGAAAGTGGTCCAGTTTATTGTTTTGCATTTGTGTGTGTGTATAATCGTGATAGTAATGGCTGCTGACTCCCGTTGTTTTTCTGAGCCTTTGTCTATTTTAAATTCGGCGGCTGTTGAGATCCAGCTAAACTTGTTATATTTATTTGTAAAAACATTTCAGTTATGAAACGGCTTTTCGTTCTACGTAAAAAATAAAGGCATTCACGAATATTTAAAATTTTTTAAATTAGCCCGGTCAAGTTATACATTCAAGGTTACATTAATTCGCATAAAGCTGAAAATTGATACGAGTGTTGCAAGTACCATTATAAATTAAATGTCAGAAGTCCCCATCGATCTCACGTCTGCAAATATATGTATTGAAGGTCAAAGGTTACATGAATTGGTTTTTTGAATTTTTCAGCAAAATGGTGAGGTTTATCACAAAAATATTTGGGGCAAAAGTGTAGACTATGCAATTATCTACAAAAACTGTTAT